CTCCTCCACTCTCCTTTGAACTTGTGTCCTTTTCCTTGTTCCTTTAACTCCACCCCAGCCCCAATCCTTAGCTCTTAGGATAGAATATCCAAGACAGCCCAAGTCATACTCACTATATTGGTAATGTAGGCCATAGGGTAGAAACCTTGTCTATCTAATTTATTGCCTGTTCCCAGCAAGTAGAACAATGCATGGAATTTAATAGGTATTCAACAAGTAATTTCTTCTAAAAGTATTCATGGATCTTATTTCAACACACACATCACTCAAGAGTATTCTGCAGCTCACTCTTGTGTGGCAAAATGACAACTGGTAAAGCATGTATAGGCAGACCCACATTCTAGATAAACTTTCTTGTATAGAAGATCCATAAAAATGCTGTCAGAAGTATACCAAAGCCCATCTCCCCTTCCCTCACCGATCACCATCCAATTCCTTCATAGGAGGACTTCATAGAATGTCAGGGGATTTCTAGGATATACTAAGATGTGTTTACCATACTCAATTTGAATAATTTAAATAGGAAAGACAACTGTTCTCGAGGGTTGAATTGACTTTTGTCTGTAAATCTAGACTATACCTTGCCTACTTAAGGACTTTTGAAGAAAAAACTCCCGTATTTATTTTCATTCTTGAGTACTCTGCTTCCATCTGAGACAGAAAATTGTCCATTTTCTTTTAACCAACCTCCTGTCCACCCTCCCCCCACAAGACTGCTTTCAAGTTATCTTTTCAAGTCCCAACTCCTTCCTGCTCAATTCTGCTTCTTTAGTCAATTCCTGAGCCCTCCTTTTCCTAGCATTCATCTTCTGCTTCAATTCTCTGACAGAGGCATTATAGGATGGGACCACTAACAGTTTTGCTGAATAATATTCCTTTATCCTGGTTCCTCTGTATACTGCACACATAGCATGGACTCCATGACCTGTCCATGTCCCCATTGAAGTCCAGATAGGCCTATTTAATATCAACCAGCTCTTCTTCAGAATCTCTTTGTCTACTTGAAAGCTTGAATGTCTTAAAGAGATAATATTTTTAAAGAGTATCCTCCAATATATCTCCCAATTCTTATCTTGGTTGAGCACACATCAGAAACCTCATCCACTCTCCCTGCTCATCATACACGGCTCTCTGCCACTCAGAATGCAATACTTTCAAAGAATCTGGAAGTGGCATCTGGCATCCTTCTTGTTGTCATCATCCACCTGGTCTAGGTAAAACTGCAAGGAGACCTTGTGATGGCCATGTAGGACTGTGCCTCACAGGGCACACCCAACACTGGATAAAGATAGGTGATGGCGAACACTTCCTTATACAGTTAGTTTAACCAATCCAATCACAGCTAGTTAGATGTGACTAGAGCTTTTTACTCTTCTTAAAACTTTTAAAATTAATAATTAGAGACTACTTCTAAACTTTTAGGAAAAAAACCTCTTTTTTTAACTTCTGGGTCAGCACCATTCCTGATATCTGATCTCCACATAAATTTCAGTAGAGCACTAAAACTAAAATATTAATTTTTCCCAAACTTCCATCCTCCCTGCTTAATTATAAACAATTATTATATTTATATTAACTATTTCTGCCCTCACGATGTACCAACAAGCTATAACAGCAAATTTTACTGTGTACTTCCTATGTGCAATATTCTAAGATAAGTGTTTCTTACACATTATTTCATTTATTATAACAAATCTATGAACTAGGTACTATTACCCCATTTCCAGATGAGGAAAACTGTACGTAATGATGGAAAAAGCAAGGATTCAAACTATATTCTTAACCACTAGATATAATTCCCATTACTATTACTTTATTAAATCTGCCTCAAAAGAACATTATTTCTTATTCACCGATTTAGGAAATATTGGCAGGGGAAAGCCCCACCTCCAGCCCTTTCTATTTCCACTACACCCTCTCTACTTTGCCACAGATTCCTTTTCCTTTAAACTCTTTGCCATTGGTTATCTCCTGGTAGACACCAATATATTCTGATTTCTCTATGTTTTATAAATTCTGAATTTCAACACATGATACTAACTCTGTTTCCTTGTGACCCAGAAAAGGAAGTCATTTTCTCCCCTGAAAAGGATTTTTTGCTATAGTTCCCTGAATATAACTAAAGCACCTATGCAAAATTCATAATCATGATAGGTTCATTTGGTTAATCTGGAACAGATTACAATCTGTTTTATAAACACTTTTCTCCTCAATTCAATTCAACATTTACTGAGTACTTACATAAGAAACCCATGGAAAAGAAGGAAACCAGATGGCTAGGTAGTTTTTCTGTAAGTCACTCAAAATATCAACATTCCTACTATGTAAAAAACATTTAACATCTGTGCTAGCCAGTTTGACTCAGTGGATAGAGCGTTGACCCAAGGACTGAAGGATCCCGAGTTCAATTACAGTCAATGGCAGATAACTCAGCTGCAGCAGGCTCTATCTCTGGCCCTGGTCAGGGCATGTGCCGGAGGGAGGCAACCAATCGATGTTTCTCTCTCTGTGTCTTTCCCCATCCCTTCCACTTTCTCTAAAAATCGATGGGAAAATATCTTCGGATGAGGATTAACAACAACAACAAAAAATCATATTTAACACCAAGAAAAACATTAATATACTAATAAAATTAGGCAAAAGACATAAACAAGTATTTTAAGGGTAAAGAAATTATATGGACACAAGAAATCATCAATCTCCATAGTAATAAGAAATAATTATTAAAAAGATAAAATACAATTTTTTATCTATCAAATTACTAAAGGTCAAATAAAATTACTACAAATGCTAGTTCAAATACACGGTAAGCACTGTACTATTTTTGTTTTAAAGAAGGTAAAAGTTAATATTTTAGTTTCTTGGCATAGCTTTAAGGTCAAGAACCATTTTGGTCCTAATCTCCTTCTTCAGCTTCATTTTCTACAGGTCTACCACTTCCCCCACCGGTTATCCTTCTCAATTCACACAATATTTTCATCATAATATGGATTTCCCCCCCTATATTTTTTTTTATTTCAAAGAGAGGAAGGGAGAGAGAGAGAAGCATCAGTGATAAGGGAGAATCATGGATAGGCTGCCTCTTGCACATTAGGGATCAAGCCTACAACCTGAGCATGTGCGCTGACTGGGAATCAAACCATGACCTCCTGGTTTATAGGTCAATGCTCAACCACTTAGCCATACTGACTAAGGTAGAACATGGAATTATTGGAAGCTAGTTGGGATTTTTTTGTGTGTATCTTAAATAATTTTATTGCAATCTAATTCACATACTGTACATTCACCCATTTAGAGTATACAATTCAACTGGTTTTAATGTATTTGCAGTTATGCAGCCATCTTCAAACTGAGTTCTAGAGCACTGTCATCACTACAAAGAGAGCCTCGTCTCATAAAGAGTCCATCTCCACTTACAACCCCCTCTCCAAGTCTGTAGCTAGGGCTCTTAAATTGTGTGTGTGTCTCTATTCAGCAGAAAATGGAAAGACTGGTCAAGTAAGGCCTTACTAATGAATAAAGCAACATTCAAATTGAGACCTATTGGATGAGAAGTTAGCCTTTTAAATCAGGTGCATGCATATTTGTGTGTATATGTGTGGTGTGTGGTATGTGTGTGCTGAGAGTGCAGATGTTTAGGTCCAGGGAAGCAGCATGCTGAAGGAAGAGAAGTGCAATGGCGTATATAACAATTCAAAAGGCCAATGTAACTAAAGTTTGGTGTGCAATCAAAAAAACGGCAAAGATGGGATTGAAGAATGGTCAGGCAGTGTGGCTACACAGATCAAAGAAACAGGAGGTTCAGGGTATAATGGAGGAAAAGCAAATATTAATTTGATTATAATACTAGGGTAATAAACATTTCCACACAACCCTCAGATAAAATTTTTAATTAACTTTTAGGGAGAGAGAATGTGTGTAGTTGAGGACAAAAGGAAGCTAAGACCATGTTCAATCAGAACATGCCCACTTAAAACTCTTTTATGTTAGAGTTAGGTGTCATTTTTTTTAATATATTTTTATTGATTTCAGAGAAGAAGGGAGAGGGAAAGAGAGAGATAAAAACATCAATGGTGAGAGAGAATCATTCATTGATCAGCTGCCTCTTGCAAAACTCCTATACTGGGGATCGAGTCTACAACCCATGCTTGTGCTCTTGACTGGAATCAAACCTGGGACCCTTCAGTCTCCAAGCCGATGCTCTATCTACTGAGCCAAACCAGCTAAGGCTGCTAGAATTAGTTTGGAAAAAAAAAAAAATCTGCTCTTCAAAAACCACAGATTATAAAGTAGGTAGCATTGGCTCCAAAATCTTACTCTGATGATCTAAAAGCTACTGGCAGTAGAACTTTTCTTTTTTCTTTTCTTTTTTCTTTTTTTTTTTTAATATATTTTATTGATTTCTTATAGAGAGGAAGGGAGAGAGAGAGATAGAGTAAGAAACATCGATGAGAGAGATTCATAGATCAGCTGCCTCTTGCACACCCCCTACTGGGGATGTGCCCGCAACCAAGGTACATACCCTTGACCAGAATCGAACCCGGGACTCTTCAGTCCTCAGGCTGACACTCTATCCACTGAGCTAAACCGGTTTGAGCAAGTAGAGTTTTTCTTTCACCCATCATGTTCCCTAATGATAATTACTTTAATAAATACAGTAATTTCTTTTCAGCTTTTCTGAAAAGCTGAACAGGTACAATTTATTCAATGCAATTTCAGGTAACAGGTAAGATTTTTGACTCCACACTTTTAGAATTAATATATAAACATACCATAAAGTTCCTTGTGTGTTAAGACATTATAACATTAAAAATGTAAGGTATAAATATTCTACTACTACTATAAATTGTTTCTCAATCACACTGATGCTCAAAAACCACTAACATAAATAAACTCTTCAATTCAACTACATTTACTTAAGAGGTCAACACCTATAACAAAATCTGCAAGATAGCTTAATCATGAATACACAGAATGATCCTGTAAATATGCACACATACCTTTATCCTTCTTAAAATCCAAAGCATCTTCTTTATCGGTAACTATCTCCTTCATATTGATAATACTCTGATGAGTAAGCTGCCGAAGAATTTTAATTTCTCGAATTGCTGTAATCGGAAAGCCTTCCTTTTCATTATCTAGACGTACTTTTTTTAAGGCAACCATTTCTCCTATTAGAAAATTAAATAAAATCAAGTTACTAGCTGACAAAAACCACATGACATTTTTCTTAATTTTAAATTTATTTTAATTCATAATATCTGTTCCTAACTCTTCAAATTACAAGCCCAAAAATATATTTTAATTTCCAACAAACCAGATTATAATGTTGATAGTTTAAGGAATTAGATCTCTGGCTAAATAACTTATGAGATATTTATCCAAGCTGTGATACAACTGTATAAAAATATAGGGTAGGTGCATATATACTGTTACTTTATGCTCTCTAAGATAAATGAAAAAAGCATGACGAGAAAGATTAGATACATTACACTGCCATTTTTGGTAAGTAAAGAAGGGGAAGATAAATATATACAATAAGCTTATATTTGCATAAAATCCATCTGAACAGAGGAGAAATATTCTGTAGACTGCACAGGTGAGAAATGCTAAGACATATTATCTTGCCTAAAGTTGTCCAATTATCCAGAAGTGAAAGTGGGATTCAAAATCTGGTTTAGCTATCTCAAAATTTGCTCTTCCCACTCCTCTAATAGCCTAATAATTTACACATATTTGTGTCAGATAAAACCTAAATAAGTAAAATACACACATGCATATATACAAATTCTATTATAAGAAAATATTCATCACTATAATAAAGGTTTGTTCATTCTACTTTGGAGAAAAAAGAATCCTATATTTACAAATTTTTTACAAGAAAAATATTTTTATCTTTAGTAATTAAAATGTACTTGACTCTTTATTAGGGAATTCTAAAATGTGTAGTAACTCCTTGTTTTACTAAACAGCTTTAAAGGTTATAATTTAATCTCTTTTTGATAAAGCAGAATCATTATCATCAATATTATTACTCCATGCTGTAAATGCCTTCAGGAGGTTCTAAGTATAAGGTAGTCTGACCCATATTAAATGGCTTGAAATAGCTAAACTATTTTAATCTACTGATTATTTCAACAAGGAATTATAAGATTATACTCTGGCTCAGAGCATTACTTTGTTAAATATACAGCCTCTGACAGTTACATTTTCCTCTTCAGTAAGGCCTTTTAAAACTTTCTCTCAGGTTCCTGATTATATTCTGAAAGATTCAGCTGCTAAATCTGGCCTCCAAATAAAGGATAATTTCTACAGAAGAAAAAAAAATAATTTTGGCCATATAAGTGTTGTAATAAGGCTTACTACAACAGGTTCATTACTAAGTCTAATAACATCAATATACTTTTTTCCCTCTGATTACTGACAATGTAAGAATTTATTCACCATAAAAAAAAAAGAAACCTAAATCTCAGCATACTACATATTACAGATACTAAACACTTTTAGAAAGTATAAATGATTGCACACCCACTTACATATACTCAATTCTTACATAAGTGCATATATAAAACAAGATGAAACAAAAATATAATAAAAATTTAACTGTTTTCCTAAAAATTGCTGAAGTTAGTTATCCATTAGGAAAGAAACACAAATACATTCCACTGTCCTAAAGATCCATAGCATTTGACATTCTTACCAGTGTCTTTATCCCTGGCCTTGTAAACTTGTCCATAGGTTCCTTCTCCAATAATTCCGATGATATCAAATTTATCCACGCATCGTTTTCCCCAGTCAATATCTTTTTCTTTGATTTCACCATAGCGAGGCCCACATATTCTATCAAATATAGTTCTTAAGTTTTTATATACAATCAAGCAAACTGAATAAACTGTTAAATATTCAATCTCCTCCCACCACCTTAATCCTACATCCTTTATTTCCCCATACCCTTCCACATTTGAATGCAAGTAACTCTGGGATTTGGTACTATAGAGTATCATGAAAGTCAAGGTATCAATCTCCACACTGACTCTTCTTTTGTACAACAGCACTTAAACTGAGGAAGAAAAGAAGTAAAGCCTGTATGAAGGACTTTCAGAAAGAAAATCTCATTTTGCAGTGAGTGGACAAAATCAACATAAGTATGAAGAGTCAAAGTAAAGTTCTCTAACCAACCTCCAGAAAGTTTTCTTTTTCATTCATGACTATATATCTGCTTTCAAAACACAGAATTTTAATAATGACCATTACCAAAAATCTAACTATAAGTCTCACTGATGAATTTAGACTCATGATAGATAAAATTATCTTGAAAATGGAAACACCCGAAAGACTTATCTGATAGTACACAAGTATTAATAAAATCAACGCTCAGGAATCCACACTTTAAGCGTGTGTATGTGTGTGTGTGAGAAATACATATATTAGATGTTCTTTAAAAAAAAAATTAGTTTTATAATAATATTCTGTAGTAATAGAAAGCCATATAATGGGATAAAGCTATTAATACTCAAAGAAAGACTATTTTAAAACTTTTCTAGCTTTCTGCTCCATACTAGAAAAATCATCTCATATTCTTATAATAGGTGCTACCTGAATAGCAATGCTTACATTGGATGTAACTCAAACTCTTACACACTTGATTGGTTAAGTTAGAGAGAGAGAGAGAGAGAGAGAGAGAGAGAGAGAGAGAGAGAGAGAGAGAGAGAGATATCTCAACCTTCTCCCCGTTTAACTGATGCCGCCAAGGAAAGACCAGCAGCTTGTCCATTACTAATTTTGTTTGGGATTACTTAATGCTGACTGCCACTTTGTCCAATTTCAGTGTTTCTGTTATTTAAATATCTTCATTACTAAAGTTATCTTTAACACATACAATAACCCCCAAAATCAATACATTACAAACTGTGAGAGAAAATTTAATTTAATTTTATTAATCATTTTGAATAGGTATGCAGGCAATTATGAAATTTTCAAAACTCTAGTAAGAGTTTATTCAGATATTTAAGTAGGACAAATAAATACACTTTTTATTATTTTAAATCTTAATTTTGTGTTTTATAATGATCCAGAATCACCTCTGGCCAATTTAAGAGCAGGTAGAAAGCAAGCACATACTTAGGCCTCTTTTTACTATGTAACTGTGTTGTTGTTTTCTTTTCCTCTGGACTCTTTGAGAGATCATCTCCTCCTGGTAGCTCAGGGGGCAGTGGTAAATCAGCAAGTAGACATCGTAATTTCTTTTCTACTTCTTTTTTAACCGCTTTTACAGAAATATTTCCTCGTAAGCTAAAAAAAGAAAGGAGTCAGACAAAAATAAACAAAAAACACAAACCACAAACTCTATTTCATTGAGAAATAAAAATACAGCCATGTCTTACATTTAAGTAGCATACAATAGCAAAATACTGAACTAAGTTTCTTATTTTCCAGATAAAATATTATACCATAATCAAATGCAAATTTAAAAATATGTGGTAAAAAGTATGTAGAATTTCATAACTAAGGAAATTTGAACAAAGTATGGATTACCTATATTGGCTCATTAATTTTAACCAATGTACCATACAAATGTTGTTTATAATGAGGAAACTGAGTGCAGGGTAGATGGGGGACTCTAATTTTTCTGTAAAAATATGTGTATTTTTAAAAATAATATATAATTACTATAAGGCTATATTAGAACAAAAAGTAAACTTTTTTTTTAGAACACAGTCAGGTAAGCAACAATATTACACAATGGATTCCCAGGGTAAATATAGTATCTAACAGGTATTTTATTCAGGGTTGAAATACAATAAAAGCTTCTTTCTAGAAATGGGAAAATTTGTACTCTGTTTAAAAATAAGCTTATTTATTTATAAGACTAAGTTGCTAACTTGTAATTAGGCTTTAGTAAAAAAATTCTCATTTATCTGAGGATTCAAAACATTTTGGGAGGGGAAAAACTAAACTAAAAGTCTTAACTTTCCTTATAACTAAAACTTAAAAGACTGCCTATATTCCAACATGTCATTATATGAACTATTAAGTTCAGCAAGATTCACAGACTTAAGAGAAATGAAATACTGTTTTTGAAAAACAACATTACAGTTAAAAACTGTATCTTCATTGAATACCTGCAATAAGCTATTTAGAAATGTGATTTTTTAAAAGTTTCCATATACTACAGCAATAAAAATAAAATGCATTAACAAGAAATGTATTAAGACCTAACGAAGAAAATGAAAACATTTGACTGATGAAAATAAATTTGACTGAATAGAAACAATGTTTTTGTATGGAAACTATAATACTGTCAGTCTCCAAGTTAATTATTACATTTAATAGAGTCCCAAACAAAACCAAAGAAATAGTCTTTTTTTTAAATATTTTTAAAATTGATTTCAGAGAGAATGGGAGAGGGAACTGACTGATGATTCTCTCTCACAATGATGTTTCTCTCTCATTCTCCCTCTAAAATAAATGAGCACACCGAGACTGAGGAACTGCAGAAGGCATGAACGCGGAGAGGGCTGGCAACTGAGTACACAGCTGGCTTTCTCAACCGGGAGGGAGACAAAAGCTCCCAAGGCTCTGAACTCCAGTTCTGGGCAAGATTCTGGCAACTCAGATTCATTCGGGGAGAAACTGGACTGTCTGGCAGCAGGTAAAACTCGATGGTGGCTTTCTCTCAGAGGTGCTTGCAGTGATTACCTCAGGACACTGAGACCTAGGGGCCTCTTAGGGCAAGGCAGATGGGAAGCCTTTGCGGTCTGGTCCACCCTGGGACTCCGCCCCATCCAAGCTGATAACAGAGGCTGTTGAAGAATAAAAGGAGACAGCCAAAACCCGTTTGGCTCAGTGGATAGAGCGTCAGCCTGTGGACTAAAAAGTCACGGGTTCGATTCCGGTCAAGGGCATGTACCTCGGTTGCGGGCACAACCCCAGTGGGGGGTGTGCAGGAGGCAGCTGATCAATGATTCTCTCTCATCGATGTTTCTGGCCCTCTATCCCTCTCCCTTCCTCTCTGTAAAAAAAAAAACAAAATATATGTATATACATAAAAAAATAGTTTAAAAAAAAAAGTCCCCACAGGCCAAATTTCCAACACTTGGATCATCAAAAGGAAGAGTGACTGTAACTGGTCTTGAATTAAACTTTTGACCACCCACGTTAGTAGTAGTACTTAGTAGTCCTAAGAAACATCTATGTCTGGCCGCTGAGGCTCAGCTGGCTGGAGCACTATCCCAGGTTGAAAGTGCAATCCCTGATCAGGGTGCATAGAGGAGGCAACTGATTGATGACTCTCTCTCACATTGATGTTTCTTTCTCTCATCCTCCCTCTAAAATAAATGAAAACATATCCTCAAGTGAGAATTTAAAAAAAAAAAAAAAAAGAAACATATCCATTAAACATACAAACACAAAGAAATAAAAGCAGAGACACAACAAAGAGAAAAACAGAAAAGGTAGATCAAAAGAAATTTTTTAATAACCAAATATGAAATGTGTCACCATCTCATTAAAAACAGATGCACAGAGAATATCCTCCTTGAGCATTCACATGGGTATGGCCTGAGTTCTTGAAAATATCACCAATCCAAGTTTACCCCTAAAGCACATATGAAGAATAAAGTAGAGAACAAGTCTCACTGGCCCAGAATCCCTGGACTCTCAGGTATTAATAATAAGTGACTCAAATCTGCAATCACTGTACTGAAAAGCCCATTCCAGCACTCATGAAAATTCAAAATCACTGTTATGTGATTTTGCAAAACCTTCAATGCTCCTAGATAACAGTCAAAACTGGAATTATCACAATTATAGCAGTATAATGGAATAACACCAAATTAAGTTGAATGGGATATCTTGGTAACATTTTTTATTGTAGGAAAAAAGAGCCTCAGAAGGCATGAGACAGGCAATTTTTTTTTTCAAGTTATAAAATTTTCACAATGCTAACCAAAGTGAGCACTTGAAAGAACTGCCCACATGGTGTTTTTATCTGCTTGTTTTGGAAGAATTCTTTCTGCTAGGAAAATTGTCCATATAGTTGCTTCTCAAAAGAAAGAAGGAAAACAACTCTAATTTCTTCATAAAAATAAAAATTGAAAAAATTAAGTAGTATAATAGGCAGATATAACACAATAGCATAATACATCTAATCTAGCATATAATTTCATTTCAGAAATTTACACAGTCTTACCTTCATCCTCTTAAAAATAAAATGTTTCAAAATAAAAAGCAAGCCACATCCCCAATATTCACAATAAAAATCTGTAAATATATTAAAGGAAAGCATAACCACATTATGGGTTTTCTGTAATATATAATTAATCTCCAACTGCAAAAATTTAAAAGACCACTAAAGAAACTTTAAAAAGCAAGATACATGCTTTATATCACCCAGGGCAGATTCTCTCATAAAATATCCTGTCTCTAACACTATCATCAAGGAATACTAAATTAAAGTATATACTGGCAGTTCTAATTCTCAACCTCAAACTGACATATACATTGTATTCCAAGACAATGGCAAAATTTTCCAGGGAATTCTTAACATAATAATTTTGTCATTCTACAATGTGCTTCATTTTAAGATTATAGTAGAAAGAAAATTAATCCACATATTTTTTGTAAAGTTTTTTTTGGGGGAATAAGTCAAATAATTTCTCACTTCAAACTTACATATTTTTTTCTTTAAACAGTTATTGACCTGCCCTAGCCAGTTTAGCTTAGTGAACAGAGCATCAGCCCACGGACTGAAGGGTCCTGAGTTCGATTCCAGTCAAGGGCATATACCCTGGTCCTGGTCAGGGCGCATGAGAAAGACAATCAATCGATGTGTCTCTCACATCAACCTTTCTCTCTCAGTCGCTCCGCTCCCTCTCTCTTCCACTCTTTCTAAAAGTCAATGGAAAAATATCCTCGAGTGAGAATTAACAAAAAAATAATAATAATAAGCAGTTATTGACAAATTTTCTGCACTTACCTATCAGCATCTTTATCTTCAGGCAGCATTGGAGGCAAAGGTAATGGTGGTAATGTAGAGGTCACTAGAGCCACATGGTGTTCCTTCTCCTTGGCTCCTGTGCTTGGTGTAAGTGGTTTGGTTTTCTCTTTAAGAGATACTGGTTCCTCCTTTATAGCAGCAGATTTACTCTCCTTCCCAACTGCTTTCTTGGTGGTTTTATCTACAATCAAATTATTGTCCACCTTTGTTACCTGAATAAGTGGCTTTGTTTTTGCCTTGTCATTTTTTAAAGTTCCACCACTTGAGGGAGAAGGTGCAGGCTCAGTCTTAAGTTTCTTCACATCCTTCACATGGTTTGTCTGTGATGCGCTGGCACCAGTTTCTGTGTTCGCCTTGGTCGGTGTAGAAGTGTTTGAGGCTTTGGCAGCTTTGGCAGCGGCCTCAGCAGCCTTGGCTGCCTCTGCAGCTTTCGCTGCCTCTGCAGCTCTTGCTGCCTCTGCAGCTCGTGCTTTTTTATTCTTGTTCAATTCAGCTGCCAGGCTACTCTTCAGAGTTAGTGTGCTAGGGGAAATGCTAGAATGACGACTTCTGGATCTAGACAATCTGTGCCTACTACGAGATCTTGAATGCCTAGATGAATATGGGCTTCTGCTTCGGGATTTGGCAGACCGTCTGGCGGAAAAAATTAAGATGTAAGTCAGTAATTCAGAAAAGTTCAGTTAAAATTAATAAAAACTGCTAACTCCAGCCTGTGAAATGAAAGATTTATTTAATTTCAAAATCATAATCTAGTTTTTTGTGGGAGGATTTTTTTTTAAGTGCTTTTAAGTATAATATTGTCTGGTGATCTGGTGGCTATGGTTTTACTGAAAATAGAGTGAATATCTTAATCTTGATCTAGCCCACAAATGCTCAAAGGTGAGGTTGGATGAAAACAGATTCTGAGAGAAGAAATACTGTTAAGAATTAGGAGGAAGTCCATCAGGTGCGGCTCAGTGGTTGAGCAATGACCCATGAACCAGGAGGTCATGGTTCAATGGCCTCGATACCCAATGGGGGGGCCAGGAAACTGATCAATGATTCTCTCTCATCATTGATGTTTCTATCTCTCTCTCTCATTCCCCCATCCTCTCTGAAATCAATAAAAACACTAAAAAAAAAAAAAAAAAAAAAGAAGAAGAAGAAGAAGAAGAATTATTAGGAGGAAAAGTGTGACAAGGCATCACTACTGTCTAAGAAAACAGAAGCAGACAACAAGAATACTAGGGATAGGAGTAACAGAGTGACTGATCTTTTACCAGAGAGACAATCTACACCTCAAAAGCATCTTCACCCATTAAATTCAGTAGGTCTGTCTACAAGAGTGAAAAAGACAAAACCTGTCATTAGGCAATAAGTAAAAGTTCCTAAATCTTGGGAACTGCTTAATGACTATGCAATTCACTTCTCAGAAATTATTGGAGGCCCAGCCTTTTTGGCTCAGTGGTTGAGTATTGACCTATGAACCTGGGGGGAGGGGGTGTGTGTCACAGTTTGATTTCCAGTCAGGGCACATGCCCAGGTTGCAGGCTCAATCCCCAATGTGCAGTGTGCAGGAGGCAGCCAATCAATGATTTCCTCTCATCATTGATGTTTCTATGTCTCTCTCCCTTCCTCTCTCTGAAATTAGTTTATACACACACACACACACACACACACATATATGCAAAGGACCTGAATAGATATTTCTCCAAAGACAATATACTGATGGCCAAAAGACATATGAAAAAATACTAAATATCACTAATCATCAAAGAGATGCAAATTTAAACTACAATAGACATTACCTCACACCTGCCAGGATGGCTATCACCAATAAATCAACAAACATGTGCTGGCTAGAACGTGGACAAAATCACCAATAAATCAACAAACATGTGCTGGCTAGAACGTGGACAAAAGGAAACCATCATGCACTGTTAGTGGGAATGCAAACTGGTACAGCCACTGTGGAAAACAAGATGGCATTTCCTAAAAAAAATTTTTTTAATGGAAGTGCCTTTTGACCCAGTGATCCCATTTCTGGGAATATATTCTAAAAAGCCCAAAACACTAATGTGAAAGAATATATGCACCCCTATGTTTGTTGCAGCATTATTTACAACAGCCAAGATCTGGAAACAGCCCAAGTGCCCATCAGTAGATCAGTGGATGAAAAAGCTGTGGTACATTCACACAATGGAATACTATTCGACCATCAAAAGAATAAACTATTATGCTCTGCGACAGTATGGAGAGCATTATGCTAAATGAAATAAGCCAGTCTGAGAAAGACAAATACCATATGATCTCCCTTATATATGCAATCTAATGAATATAATAAACTGACAAAACAGAAACAGAGGCATGAATACATGGAACAGACTGACAGCTGACAGAGGGAAGGGACACCTGGGGACTAATTGAAAGAAGATGAAGGAATTAGCCAAAAAAAAAAAACCATATATACAGCCCAGCCAGTGTGGCTCAATGGAGGTCATGGTTCAATTTCATGGGCACATACCATGGTTGCAGGCCTGGTCCCCATCGTGCAGGAGGGCAGCTGATCAACTGTTCTCTCTCATCATTAATGTTTCTCTCTCTCCCTGTTTCCCTCCCTCTCTGAAATCAACAAAAATATATCTTAAATAAACCACATATATGCATAACACATATACAACAGTGTGATAGCCAGAGGGAAAGGGGGTGAAGGCTAGGTTGAAGTGGACAACGTGGGAGGGAATAGAGACCAAAAGAACTCTGCCTAGGGTGATGGGACACAATGCCGTGCACAGGTAATGTTTTATTGAGTTGTACGCTTGAAAACTGTTTGGTTTTACAAATCGATCACCCCAAAAAATTCAATGAAAAATAAAGACCCTTTGATTACATAGTACCCAGTACCCATCCAGGATCATCTCTCCATCACAAGTTCCCTATTTTAATCACATCTTAAAAAGTAAGTCCCTTTTGCCATATAGGATAACATATTCACAGGTTCACAGGAATATCTTTGGGGAGGGGTGGAGCATTATTCAGACTACACACCCTCATCTTCAATTCTCCAGGGTACTGTTCTATTTCAAACCTCATTAACTCTCTTATAGACTTCCTTCCTTAACTTATTAAAAATAACTGATCTTTTCACATATCTAATCTTTCCCTGCTCCAATTATTTATATGGACATGATAACTAAAGTAATCCTCACTGTTCAGCGATTATTGCATGCCCCCAATTCACTCACCTTCCTTCTCTTTTTAGTACCTATTCCAAACCTTCAAAACTCTCAAGTTCACCCATCATTCCCAATATCTTCTTTTCTTTTTTCTTTTTTTAATATTTTATTGATTTTTTACAGAGAAGAAAAGAGAGGGATAGAGAGTGAGATACATCAATGAGAGAGAAACATTGATCAGCTGCCTCTTGCACACCCTCTACTGGGGATGTGCCTGCAACGAAGGAATATGCCCTTGACCGGTATCAAACCTGGGACCCTTCACTCCACAGGCAGACACTCTATCCACAGAGCCAAACCAGTTAAGGCCCAATGTTTTTTTTAACATCACCATACTTCTATTTCTCAGAAAAAATAAAAAGATTATCAAACTATGTCTCTTGCTCTAGCCAGTTTGGCTCAGTGGATAGAGCATCAGCCTGTAAAGGGTTCTAAGTTCGATTCTGGTCAAGGGTACATGCCTGGGTTGTGGGCTAATCCCCAGTGTGGGTTGTGCAGGAGCAGCCTATCAATGATTTTCTCTCATCCCTGATACTTCTATGTCGCTCTCCCTCTCCTTTTTTCTCTCTCTAAAAACCAATAAACATTTAAAAACAAACGAAAAGCATGTCTCTTGCCTGCAAATGTAATCTTTATCTCCATCCAAGTTACATTACACCTGAGTAGAGGTGTTTCTCTTCCTATCCAAGGCTAAGTCCTCTAAAATGCTATCAATCTCCTACTCTCTAGATCAGTGGTTCTCAACCTTTCTAATACAGCTCCTCATGTTGTGGTGACACCCCCCCCCCAAGTAATTATTTTCGTTACTACTTCATAACTGTAATTTTGCTACTGTTAATGAATTGCAATGTAAATATCTGTGTTTTCCGAAAGTCTTAGGCTCTACAAAGAACTGCTCGCAGGGTTGCCTAAGACCATCCGAAAACACAAATTTTTACATTACGATTCACAACAGTAGCAAAATTAGTTATGAATAGCAATGTAAATAATTTTATGGTTGGGGGTCATCACAACATGAGGAACTGTATTAAAGGGTCTCAGCATTAGAAACGCTGAAACCACTGATCTAGGTCTAAGAGTGTGGTCTAAGGACAGCAACACTGGCATCATCTGAAAGCTTGTCAGAAATGTTGTATCTCTGGCCTCAACCCAGACCCTCTGACACAGAACCTGCATTTAATAAGACCCTCATTAAAGTTTCAGATGGACTATACTGAACACCTCTATTGCAATAGTCTATTTGCTTTCTAGTCTCAAGGAATAAATTAAATCAAGCCTCTAAGCTTTTAAAACACAGGCCAGAAAAAAACATGCAGATGATACTGTATTTTTACCTCTTCTTCTAATTACAGCCAAATTCTGGCTCATACCTTCACTGTAATTACTGACCAATGATCTACCTTTCCTTTATTTTGGGGGGTTGGAGAAAGGAGAGAAGAAAAATATCAATATCTGTGATGACAATGTTGATCACACCCTTACAAAACACTTCCTAACTACTTCCACTACTTTTTTCCTGATTCTTTTCTTACTTCTATGATTTTCAGTGCTCTTTAAGGTTATCTTCTTCACTATGCTCATTCTCCCACAATAATTTATTTTATGCTAATGGAGAGCTTTAATTATCACTTAAGTATTGATTACCCCACCAAGTCATCCTCCCTCTTATTTCCGCCCTCACCCATTTGGCTCAGTGATAGAGCATTGGCCTTCGGACTAAAGGGTCCTGGGCTCAATTCTGGTCCAAGGGCATGTACCTTGGTTTTGGGCTCAATCCCCAGTAGGGGGCGTGCAGAAGGCAGCTGATGGATGTTTCTCATCCATGTTTCTAACTCTCAGATAAAAATAAATGTATCAAAAAATAAATGTACTCTCAATAACGTACAATCTCTGTACATCAACATTCCTCATCTATAAAAAAGATAATAAAATGGGAATAATCTCAAAACAACAACACACTCTTGTTTCCTCTCCAAACCCACCCTCCTTTCTCCTTAAATATATCCTATTCTCAGGCAATGGCATTCACTGAAATAGCAGAAATCCATAAGTCATTCTACATTCCTTTCCTCCCTTCTTCCATATCCACTGATATCCAAGACCTGCTATATATAAGCATCTCTCCAGTTTCCCAGGCTCTTCATCCCAATAGTTACTATTTCACATAAGGGCTTATATCATCTCTCCCTTGGCCCAATTAGTATAGAGACCAAAAACATAAAACATCTATTTCCAAAATATCCTTTTTGCCAGGTTCCTTACCTCTAGTCTCCACCTTTTCCAATGTATTCTCCATACTGCCACCTGCATCTTTCAATTATCCCTCTACAAAACTCTTCACAGCCTTGCACTGCATACAAAGGCCTTGCCAAGCCATCCCAAAACACATAAAGAGAAATATTTCTCCGACACTCCTCT